TTCAACACAAACAAAGTCTACAATTATTTCAGTGGAGAACTGCTAAATAATAGAGAAATTATGTCTGACAGTTGAATAGTTTTAAAAAGGAAACAATTAATAAATGTTTCAACCTCAACCTCTCCTTCAACCTCCCTCACCAAGAGTACTAGCACCATCTGCTGGAACCTTAACATAGAATAGCAGCCGCAAAATAGCTAGAAGCAAAGGAGACACTAAGGAAAATCAGAGAACTCATAAAACTCATATTACGTTTTTCCACTACAGGCTAAGCCTCACTCTCTAAAATTGAATGCCGGTATCCAGCTTCAAATGTGAGATCTTGATTCATTGATCCAAATGAACACTAGGTAAGCTGATGTTTGTAAAGCAGAGCTGGTTCTTTTACCAATTCAAAAGCAAACACTAAACCAAAGATACAAAACCTTTCAGTAGGTACATTTTCTTTACCTAAAGAGCACTCATAATCTGAATAATAACCAACCATAGGAGCATTAGTTAACACAAATATTTAGAAAGAGGAGCTGCTCCATCAAGGATTGACAATGTTGCCTGTTTGATTTGGGCTATGAAACTAATTCTGATTATTTAAATAGAATATTGTTGAATAGTCAACTTAGCATGTTGGAGAAACGCGGGCATAGTACAACTACGTCTCCATCCCGAACAAGTTGGGGTCGATTATATCAATCCTAAATGATCATGTAATTCAAACTCATGTAAAATGTGTGCATATTAGTTCAAAAAAGTGTTGATCGCTATCATATTCGAACAATAAATTTTAGTATAGTATATAACAACTAAACCTCAACCCCAAACTAGACCAGGGCCGGCTCTACAAACCTATATTCATTCTGCTCCATTTTCACCATTTCATTCACCTCTCATCAGACAAATATGTGGTTTGTAGTTTTAAAAATGATGATGCTCACAATCAAAATAAAGATCAATTTTATTTTATGTTTGAATTTTTAACACAATCACAATAAAAATGGTTTTTTTTAATTTTTAACACAACACAATAAACTTCATTTTTTTTTTGTATTTTTTGTATTTTTCACACAATCACAGTAAATAGTAAAATGGTAATTACACAATTAAGAAGAACTTACGTTTTCTTCATTTGGGCCTTTTCAGCATACCGCTTCTTAGCAAGCATTTTACCCTTAATACCCAACGTCTGTTTATCAAAACAAACAAAATTAAGCAAAAAAGTTTCGTACAAAAAGGAGGGGATTGAAGTATAATTAGGATAAAAAAGAAGGACCTTTTGAGCTTTTTGGGAGCGCTCCTTAACCTCACGAGCCTCCCTCTTACGTTTACGCTCCTCGTGATCATGGCGACGACCAAATCTCTTCCTGTGTAACTCTATATAATCTCCCTGCGGCTGTTTTTTTTATAATAATTTTCACATCACAAAATCAAAAATAAAACATCAGTACATAATAATATGTGAAAGGGAAATTGCAGAAATTTGTAAGATTGATGAAGTAGTTGAATTCATTGTATGGCTTAGAGAACTAACCATGCCTACTGACAGATGAAAAAACTAGGGATGAAGAGAGAGAACCTAAGGCTTTTTGGGTATAGATATGGATACGGGTCGGTGAGAGAGAGTCCATAAAAAGATAGAACCGGGTCTGTGTTAGTAAAATTACATTTCAAAAATAATTAGAAATAATTTTTTGATAAAAATATACTGTAAATATTTTTGGTTTGTGGATATAATTTGAAAAAACTACTGTTGAAATATATGTCAGATTGTGTTTTTAGTTTTCTCGTAAATGTTTGATTTTAAAAAAGATATTTGCTGTATTTTAAATTCACTTTTTTTTTTTTGAAAAAAGTAATAAGGAGTAAGGAGATTAAACTCTCCGATGAGACTAAGATGTTACCAACCGTTCCGACGTGCCATTGACCTATTTTGATTAAGCCAAAAACCTATCTTTAAAGTGAGACCTAGTTTGAGCCGTCAAACAAGTGAGCGTGAATGGGCAAAAAATATTCACCAATGTAGAATTGTACTAAATTACTTTCAAATTAGTGAATTTGTTTGTGCTTTTTGTAATCTTAAACATGGAGCCCACCAAAAAGTTATTTTGAAATACAATTTACCTTGGTCTAATTCCTAATACGTTCAATATAATTCTTAGTATGTAATTAGTACCTTGTTTGTAGGGATTAAGTCAAAATTTAAAATTTATGGTTTTAGAATTTAATTCTATTAAATTATTAAATTCTCAATTAATAATTTATGTATATTTAATAATAAAAATATTAAGACAAATATAAAATTTAACCGAATCAGTAAACACATGTCCTCGCTTCCGAATTTTTACGCCATGTGATTTAATTACAAGTGCATGTTTCAATTTCGCCTTCCATGATTTTTAGATCCACATTAGTAGTGAATCACCAATAACGTCTCTTCCCCTCACACCTCGTTTATTTGAGCTATTGATAATATTAAATTAAAGTAAATATTTTGCTCTAATTTTACTCCAACATATTAGTGATATTCCTCACCACTTGACTAGTTACCTTTTTTTAGAAGGGCGAGATTGTAATTAAAGCTCAATCCAAGACATATAATTAAAGTTGAATATCTTACGGTTTCTCCAACTCCATTTATTCCTTTGATTCATATCTCAAAGAGTTCACCCCTTAATTAAGAGCTAGATCTTCATTTTACGTATCGAGAGATATCTAAATTCTAAAGTTCATTTGAACAACTATTGTCTAACTTTCGCGTTCATTTACGGGGCATTTGCATATATACCTAGTTTTTAGGTATTTTGTGTACCTACTTTTCGGGTAACTTTAGACATACGGGCCTGAAGTAGCAAAAATTTATGTCTGAAGTTTGAACTTCATAATAGCTTTATCAAAGCAAAATTTCATATATTTTTGCCTGAAGTTTGGCCTGACTTGCACAGGTAATCACGCAAACTTCAATTCATAGTGCAAGGTCAAACCTGAGTTCAATTGTGTATGTCTGAACTCTAAAGTCTGAACTTCAGATTTTTTTGCCTCAAGTGTAGCCTTATTAAAGCAAAACTTCAAATATTTTTACCTTAAACTTGGCCTGACTTGCAAAGGCAATCAGGCAAATTCAAGTTCATAGCAAGGGCAAACTTCAGTTTCAATTGTGCATGTCTGAAGTTTGAACTTGAGACTTTTTTTTTGTCTGAAGTGTGGCATGTTTAAAATAAAACTTCAAAATATTTTCACATGAAGTTTGGCCTAACTTGCAAAGGTAATCGAAAAAACTTCACTTCATAGTGCAAAGTTCAGACAAATTAATCTGAAGTTCTTCAATTTGTAGTGCAAACTTCAGGACAAAATCAACTTGTTATATTTGAACTTCAAATAGTGCAAACTTCAGATAATTTGTAGTGCAAATTTCCACATCAGTGATGTTTTGAGATTTTCAACTTTTTTCCCAACAATATATAACATAACATGGAATTTTGAGAGGAAATTTCTAGAGAATTCCTCCTATACGGCAAGAAATAATAGGTAATGCAAGCAACAAAAATAGAATTCAAGGGAAAACGGTCAGCTAAAAATCACTAGCATCCCTTTGCACTATTTATCTCAAAAGCATAACCTCTTTGAAAAGGGGAAAAATAATGGTTTGGTCAGATCCTAAACTGAACTGTTCTCAGCCTCATCAAAAAAAGAACATGAGGAAGAAAGGAGCGCATAGATCGGGAGGAAGAAGACTAGCTAGGCGTATGAAGTTGTCAAAATTAGGATATAGCTTAAATAATTTTTAAAATTGAGTATAGTTTAAATGGCGACGACCAAATAAGGCGCTTCGTTTTACTTCATTTACATACTAGTTGGAGGGAAGCCCGTGCTGAGCTCGAGCCCAACCCCAGAGAAAAAAAATACTACATACTAAATTTATTTGCAAAAGTAGTAATGTTTCTAGTCACATTCACCTTATTCGCACCCTTTAAAAATTATCATGAAGGTGATTTATTTATAAAAGAATATTTCTAGTTATATTCACAGAATTCACACTATTTTAAAAAAAAATGTCTTGTTTATCATGAACACCTTTAGTTCCATTTTACTTGTCCGTTATAATAAAATAAATTTTCTATTTTACTTATTCACTTAAGCAAATCAAGAGAATTTTTTCCCCTCTTTACCTTTATCATTGTTTGGCTAAAAAGTTATCAATGTATTTTGCAAGCATAAAACAATCAAAATAAATTAGGGTAAACCGTAATCAAATATAATAACATCTAGAGATGAAAATAATATTGTTCAAGTAGATTTGATGATATTGGGAGAGTATCTTTTTAGAGAAAGAGAGAATTGTATTAGTCGAGAATAATGATCGTTCCTTTACAGCATTAAAGTCTCCTTTATATAGTAGGAGACCCTCCTCGAAATAATAAAAATAGTACAAGAGTAGGTAATATCCCCTTAGTGGGGGCGCCGAACTCGTCGTGCATACGCTGGTCGTACCCACTAACGCGGAGACATCGATGGTCGAATTCGACCCCATGCAGATAGTCCCTCCGTCCGTTGGGTGCGCATTGGGAAGCGTCCCCAAGGGACGAAACTGCAAACCTCGTTTTGTGAGAACTTGACCTTACTCGAAGGCAGTAAAGTGAATGAGATGAAACATATGAGATTGTTGGGCTGCTGACGCGTGACTTCCTCTTCAAAATGATGTCGTCGCCCGCATGCGTTATTATTACACATATTCCCGAGACGATTCAGAGGGTGATTTGACGTTCGATTTCCCGCGCCCGTTTTAAATTATGCCTCTTCGATTTCTGTGCCACCCAACCCTATAAATAGGGGAAGGGTTTAACCTGATTTATCTTTCGATCCCTTTGCCAACACTTTCTGGCTTCTTTCTTTGTTTTCCTTCCTAAATAACCGTTCTTTCATTTGAGACTCCTCTGTTTCTTAGAAGTCACACTTCCCGTTGTTCATACCTCATTTCTTGAACGGAAACCATGGTAAAGCGTTGCCAAGATAACAAAAAGGCTAAAGACACCGCCCCATCTAGGGTACCGCCTTCCTCCGGCGGCGAAGAGGAGGACGTGGAAAAGGCTCTTGTTCCTCTTACTATGGATAATATGCTGCCGAAAGAACTTCTCGTTCGGGGTGACTTCAAAAGGCCCTGTCCCGGTCTTCCCTGGGAACACAGTGAACTGATGCAAAATCATTTAAACAACCTTCATGCGGCACATAACATTCTGGCTCATGTGGAAATGGTTCCGGCGGGAACGGATTATGCAAACATTCACAGACCGGGATACTGCACATTTTATGAATACCCATTCTTGATCGGTTATAGTCTCCCCGTTATCCTTTAGCGGAGGAATTTTGCCGATTTTACAATGTGTGCCCGACCCAGCTTACCCCTTATACCTTGAAGGTGTGCAGGGTTCTGACCACGTACGTGGAGCGGGCCGGGTGCGAAGTCTCTGTTCATCATCTTTTGCACTTGTTTAAAACCGTGGCTTCTGGCGTAGGTATTTTTTCATCAGAACGGAACATCTGGTATCCAACCCTGGCGGATTCTCAGAGAAGTGGAATTCAGAACGTAAGTATCTCCGTTTGTCAAATTTCTTATTTGTATGCGGCCTTGACGGCCCTGACCATTTGGCCATTGTGATTTTTCTTTCTTTGTAGCGAGGGCCTCTCCGCCCCGATTTATCAACACTATTAGACAATGGGTGGCTAAGTTGTTGCCTTATGCGGAGGAGTGTCGTACCTGGTCCGCATTTCTTCAACATTACGGCCCTGTTGGACTATCAGGTAATTCTTTGGCTTTGGTTTGAAATTTCCTTTAGGCTTTAACGACTGACCTGCTTGTGTTGATAGGTCGAAGCGCTCCCAGGAAGCGAGCGGCTATTTTGGCCTCAACTAGATCGGATATCGATTCTAACGGTGAAGACCTAGTTTGCGATTCAGTATGTGAAGGTATTTCCGTAGTTTCTCTGCAGGAGGTTGCGCCTGTGGCGGCGGCTGCAAGCAAAGTGACCCCTCCAGTGTGAAGGTGTCTCCGCAACCCGTGGATGAAACTTCTGAAGGCGAGGAGACACCAGAGAGAAAAAGGCGGAGATTGATAACGGGCAAGTCGGTGGTAACTGAGGACGAGGGGGTTAGCATGCCCCGCCTAGCGCATAGGCCCGTTTTCATGGCCGATGTTCTTTGCTCGGGGAGATCGGCCCCTCAAGTGAGTACAGCCACCGAGGCCAGCCCAGTTCGAGTACGGAGGGTGGTTCGACGTCCGCTATTGGCGAGGTGGGCAACGATATCGAATGAGCGGACCCTGAGACTGCCCATGAAGATGAGGATGGGGTAGCAAGGGGTCCGACCCATATGGAGATGACGACTGGTAGAACCAATCGCCGAATTATGATCCTGGAAGGCTACAATTTATTATAGCAACGAGCAAACGGCGACAGACATGACCATGTTGTGTGCGGCCTCCGAGCGTGAGACGCTGAGAGGCGTCAGTGACAGGGAGCTATCTCGAAGGGTTGCCGGCGCGACTTTGCAGGTAACTTTTCGTTTCCCCTGCGTGTCGTGAGGCTAGTTTTGATGCGTACTGACTCGTCTCTTTCTTTTC